AACTTTTAAATCAATTTTAGTATATATTACTAGTAGATTCTACGTACCTACATTTAAGTACTATAATCGATTTCACAAAAACTGATTAACTATAAGCCATATAAGATTAAAGCGGTACATATAAATTTAAATAATTTAAAATAAATACAATCTTTTACAAATTACGACAATTCTAACTAAACGTGTGTATATACTCTAATACAGCTACCAACCATAACCAATCATGAAAATAGATTAAAAAACATAACACTGAGTTGAATCAGATTTAAAATAATAACTTGGAGCATACTAATTAAGTATCAACTATCTTATACAAAAAAATTTAGTATACAAAGGCTTGATAAATGGTTTTGAAAYAAACCATATGGAAATAATTAAACATACATTWTAAGATATTTTATTGGAAGTTAAACTGTTTTAAAGTRTTTAATTGTAAGATAGTTTAATTACAATTMATTGAAAATGAATCAACAGATTTGCAAAAGTATTTAATACATAGGCACCTAACACAAACTGTGAAACTCACTTAATTAGTTTCAATTATAATTCATGAAAGGCGTAAAAATGTCTTACTGAAATAAGATCAATACCTGTATAGTGATTTCAAACTGCTTTATGAAAACAGACAAATCGTTATAATAATATATTATGAATGATTAAAATTACAATTGTTTCACAAAAGGATACCGATACTCAGTACTTTATTCTCCAACTTTTCAACGGGAATCGGTTTCCCAGCAGATTCCAACAATTTCCACAAGCCTTGGACACCCATAATGTATTAATTTAAAAATTTGAAGACTAAAATACTTTAAAATTGTACGGAGAAAAAGAAAACATTTTGCAGCACGGTGTCTTTCATCATCCACAAACAATAAATTATTGTATACAATACCAAGTGGTATCTACTCGGTTTGTTTAGATAACACAACTCTTACGATATTATTATGATAACGATGAAGATGATAACGTGGAATTGGTGGGGAGGGAAGGTTCTCGTGACGTAGCACAAACCATCACAGAATCGACGATCCACGCAGTATTATTATTGCTGACC